AAGGTATAAAACATAAATATATGTCTAAATAGGGTTGTTGGTATATGGTATATGGTATATGGTATATATGGTATATGGAAGAATTGGGGTTAAATAATTAACTCCTTCACCTTCCAATCCTCTTTCTTCTAAATTTGCAGAAGCTCCATGCTTAGCTGAGAAATGAAATCTATGGCAACTGAATTCGATGCTCTTCTTGCTAATGCACCGAGGTTAGTTTGATCACCTCGAGATGCAAATGTTGTTGGTGTGCCCGTAAAGAGTCTACAAAGTTAGACGGACAACAGATTGCTCCTTTGGAAGATTATACAAAGCTTATCTAGTCGAATAATTTTTAGATTTTTAAAAATATTATACCATTAAGTTCGACAATTAATTTTTGCATCTTTTTTTTTAAAAAATTATTAAATTTAGAAATCTACTTAAAGCAAATTTTTTTTAAATTTATACGAGTTGGCATATAAATGCGGTGATACTAAAAAAAAAAATTTATAACTTCAAAATTTATAAAAAAAAAATATGTACAAATTTTTTTTTAAAAAATATAAAATATAATATATACTATTAAATCATAAATACTATGAAAGTGTTAATTCATTCAAAATGTATTATTTAAAATTTATAAAAATAACCTACAAACTTTGTATAAATAATAATTTTAATTTTTTATAAATTTAAAAAATTATAAAATTAAATTAAATAATTTGTTTAAAACAATTTTTTTTTTAAAAAAATTAACATAAATTAATGAGATATAAACAAGCATTTTTAAGAAATGGTAATATTAAAATTTATATCATAAATAAAATAATTAAAATTTTAACGCAGCGCACAGAGACAGGCCATGTTGTTAACGTAGCGGTTCACGTGGTTAAAATTTTATTTTTACTTTAATTTTTTATATTTCTTTTTAGATAAGTTTTTCGTTATTTCTATTTTGATCCTAATTTTTAAAAATATTTTTAAATGTATTTAAAACTCAATTTTTTTAAAAAAATTTATAAAAAAATTATTCTATTAATATTAAATCATGTCGAGCTTAATTTTTGAGATCAGATGTTACAATATGTACAAGATACAAACAAGTATATCAAGAAAATAACCAAATATATTTCAAACTTTAAAATGTTATATTTAATAATTTATAAAAATAATATTTAAAAATAAATTATAAAATTAGAATTTATGAAAAATGAGGTATACAGAAAATAATTCACAAAGTTTTAAGTTTAAAATTTCATACATTTAATCATGACTTGTTTGGAGACAACTAATTGGCACCTAAAAACGCAGCGTTTTGACAAAAAAAAAATCTACATAGATTTTAAAGTTGGGCGGCAAATTGGTTGTCGACCGTTAAAGCGAAGCACGTATAAATATAAACTAGGAAGAGACTCGGGGGTCCCTCTGCTCAGTTTTTAGGATCGGAATCATCGCTCTGTTTCTTCTATTCGGGAAAGTAAGTTGTGGGTACTGGTTTTCATAGAGCTTCAAATCATCCACTGTTGAAGATCGTACATCAGTTGAGTTGGTTCATTTGATAGAAATTTTCAGTGTTGGTGCTGTTTCAATTTCAAATCGTCGCTCTGCTTCTTGTTTTGAGGAAAGAAATTGTGGGTGTTGGTTTTCATAGAGTTTCAAATCATCCACCGTAGTTTTTCTAATTCTTTTTCGGGAAAAATAATTCTGGGTATCGGTGTTTCAGGGGGTTGAAGATCATACGTTGGCTGAATCAGTTCTTTTGATAGAAATTCTCGGTGTTGGTACTGCTTCAATTTCAAATCGACGCTCTGCTTCTTGTTTTGAAGAAAGATATTGTGGGTATTGGTTTTCGTGGAGCTTCGAATCATCCGCTGTAGTTTTTCTAATTCTTTTTCCGGGAAAATAATCTGGGTATTGGTGTTTTACGTTGGCTGAATCAGTTCATTTGAAAGAAGTTCTCGGCGTCGGTACTGCTTCAATTTCAAATCGTCGCTTTGCTTCTTGTTTTCAAGAAAGAAATTGTGGGTATTAGTTTTCACGGAGCTTCAAATCATCCACTGTAGTTTTTCTAATTCTTTTTCCGGGAAAATAATTCAAGGTATTGGTGTTTCAGGGGGTTGAAGATCATACGTTAGTAGCGGAATTAATTCGTTTGATAGAAATTTTCGATGTTGTTACTGCTTCCATTTCAAAGAGAGATGGCCGAAATGACGACGGAGATAGAGGATGTTCTTGGCTTCACCAACCAAGTCGATAAACAAGCAGCCGAGGACCCAAAAACTCCACTTCCATTTCAAGAAAGACCCAAGAAAATCGGAGCCATGGAACCGGAAGACCCATTCCAGATCGCAATCGAAGTTCTCCGCACACGCTTTTTTACTGAGACTGAAACCGGCTGGTGCAGAAGAGAAGTTGGTGGGAAAAGAAAGGACAACCAGGTGAGAGTTTTGCCTCGCAAAAGATGCTTTGAGGAAGGAGATAACAAGCAAGAACCAGGAAGCAAGAGGCATAAGAACCTGATCAAGATAATCCAGAAGCCTACCAAGAATCTACAAGCGGTTCGATTGGAGAAGCCGAAGCCTTTGTTTAATCCTGATATGGGTCAGCAGCTGAATCAGAGCTTGGTTACCCAATCCAAGAAATGGAGCCTTGGTTGTTCAGAAACTATTTCTAGGCCGCCATTGAAGAAGTTGCACTTGAAGAAGTCTACGAGCGGAAGGTGGCAGTGGTGCAACTAGTGGAGCATGCTTCATTTTTGGTTCCAAATTACTTGACTGAAAGATTTTGTACTGCAACTCTCTGGTTATGTTTAACATAAATATTTTGATCAGTTCAGTAAATACACGTATTAGTTTATTCTTTGTATACTTGATACAGAGTATGTAATACTGTGTGTATAATATATATTTTGAAACAGGTCATTTTCTATTTCTGGTTGGTAAAAACTGCCATTGACACACTTCTGTAAGCATGTATTTGAAGTCTCAAATGAATATTCAGATCACTTTTTCCCTTAATTTTCTTATTCTCTTCTTCGTTACAAGTAAAACAAGTGGTATCAGATATTTGATTCCTCCTAAACTGACCGATATGGGAAATTTGTGGAAGTTGGAGAGGATTCTCGAGCCAATCCGATCATTAACGCCAATTTACTGAATAAATCATCTTCGTTTTATGGATTGGGAGGAAAAATTCTTGGGAAAGTGCTTGTGACATTATTTTTATGTAAGAACTAGGAGATATTTATCGAGTCAAAATCAATGATTTCCTTTCGGGTTCTATCTTCACTTTGTACATAAGCATCTTCTTCATAGCTATGGATGAAAGATAAATGACAATTACAATGAGTCTAATTTTCTGAGCTTTGAAGTATAACTACAAATTTCATAGGATTATTATTTATTTAGTAGTTTGAAGCATAATTTTGACTCAATTTGAAATTTGTTTGAGATGTTCCATGTTTATGAATTCTTTCACAAATATGCAGCATTATAATTCATACAGCTTTGAATTTGTGGCATTACATGAATCTCATTTTAACTCTTGAAAATTGAAAATCCATCTGTATTGAATTACAATATATTTCTCTTCTCAACGACATTCTTGAAAACAGATAACATTCGAGCCCCTCTACTTAAAAAATATATTCGAGGATTGATTTATGCTCAACTGCCAAAAATGTTGACTTTCCGGGAACTGAGAAAAGAACTTATAAAATGAATCATCAATTCTAACCCTACACCTTTTCCTGTAGGGCAGTGGAAAAGGAACCTGTGCTCGGAAGTTCCTTGATTCTTAAATTGGTGTGCACTCAGGCAACAGCAGCACATAATGATTTGTATGCACTGACACACAACTTAAATTTCTCTTCTGCAGCAGCCTGCAAAAAAAGAACCAAAACCAAGAAAAAGTGATAATGGAAGTTCAAGAAATTCCTTCATAGAATGCAATTATAAATTTGGTTTACAGTTTTCAAGTAGTAAAATAAGGCTATGGTGCCACAAGTTGAAAAACACACATATTTCTAACCTTACCCACAAAATTTGGCACTTACATTATGAACCTCTAGTAAATGAAAATTAGAACCCGCTAGATTTCGTTTATATCATCGAAAAGTTGAAGGCTTTAGAGACCAAAACCAAGAATAGGTGATAATGAAAGTTCAAGAAATTCCTTCGAAGAATGCAATTATATGTTTGGTTTACAGCTACCAAGTAAAATATGGCTATGCTCCCACAAGTTGGAAAAGACACATATTTCTAACCTTACCCGCAAAAGTTAACACTTACATTATGAACCTCTAGTAAATGTGAAGAACCAGCAAGTTTTTATTTATATAGTCATCCAAAAGTTGAAGGTTCAAGACACAGGCTTTCATTAGCTTTAGGAGTTCTACATGGCATACTTAGATGCCTACTCTTCACCATATAATAAGAACCATAGTACATCATTTAACCAGTCAACTCTTAGATGCGCAATGCCAATGCCCCTAGAACCGGAAAGTTCAAGATCATATTATCCAGAAATAGTTTAGCAAATTAAATACCTGGCATGAAGATTCACTCACGATTTACAGGCTAATGCAGAATAAGCAAAAAATAATAAATATAGAAATTTCATTAAAAAAAAATTGATAAATTATATGGATGACGGCCCTAATACATAAGGTAAGCTCATGCAGTACGTAGTAATCTTGTAGTTTTAATATTTATAGATATATGTAGCCAGGCTTAGCCAGTGAGAAAAAAGCACAGCATATACATCACAGAAAATAAAGGAGGAAAAAAGATGCTATTTGAGACTTTCTAACCACAGAACAGAAACAGGTGGGAGAAAGATATTAAATCTAACCTGCGAAGGGCCTTGGTGCTTATCAGGATGCCATTTTAAAGCTGATATGCGGAAGCTGAAAGGACACTAACAATTTTAGCATGCGCAAGAAAGAGGAGCTCACAAGAACATAACTTTATTCAACTGTAAGTCACAATATATTCAACTGTACGTCACAATAACTGCACAAAGAACTTACGCATTTTTAACATCTTCCAGCTTTAAAGGACCTGTTGGAGGCAGACCAAGGATTGTCCTATCTGACCATGATCCTACAGCGTATGATGCCTCGTTATCACACTCAGCATCACTTGAGTCCCAAGCTTTTGTTTTATGATTTGTCTGACTTGAATACTCTCTCCATTCAAATCCATATGTTGAGTTTCTGGAATAAGGCTCCTCCCTGAAGGTCCAAGTGTAGCATCTGTCCCCAAAAGTAGCACGGAATGTATTCTCGGAATGATCAAAATCCTCAGAGAAACTCTCTTTCCCATGTCTACCTAAAGATATCAGAAAAAGCAGCATCCAGTCTTTCATAATATAGATAAAAATTTTCCATCAAATGACAAGCACCAAGTCCTGTCAAACTTCAGATTTACATCCACACAGTTGCCTATGGTTCAAAGATACAACATTTCCATAGAACATAAGAGTGATGCAAATGTTATCAGTCCAAGATTGATATATCTAATTTGCATCGCGAGCCATACAAAATTCCTATCAACATTATATTCTCATATTTGATAAATTTACAAGATGCATGAATATCTCAACTAAAATTCCAATACTTCTCTGACACAAACAAAACAGTCACTAAAGATTGCAATTTGATTTAACTCGCTTTCCTTGTAGTTTAACCAAAAAAAAAAATTCACATAAAAAGTAAGTTACTAAAAACTAACTCTATAGTTATGTGTATGTATTCGTTTGTATATGTAGTAATCAGACGCTAGTTTACTATTAGTAGTAAAAACTAATCAAGGTTCACTGCCAGACAGGACAATGGCAAATATGGAAGAGGTAAATAGATATAAGGATACGTTCTAGAAAAAGGTGTGCAGATACTAAATTAATGGTATGTATATATAACATAAGCAGATATATGTATGTGTCTATATATGTGCATGTAAAAATAGATGAATATCTGTGTACATATATATGTCTGTATACATGTACATGTGTGTATATGTGCATACATGAACATATACTTTTAGTTGTTAGCATGATTACGAGTTTCTTTTGGAATGGTAACAAAGTGTTATTAGACCATTAGACGAGAATAATTCATTTTGTTCTCAAGATTGTAGACATCATCTTTCTAAGATACAAACTTCAAAAACAATATGCTTCATACACTTCAGCTTCCAGGGGACCATATCAAATTCCTTCAGGAAACCAATATAGATTTAAAAAGGAGCTCACGTTTTGTTTTCTTATGGTGGGACTTTTCGGAACTTCGAGGAGAAAACTTTGACCGGCGTTTACTATTATAGCTCTTAGAATCCCGAGCATTTCCTCCATCAAAGTTCCACATCGACTCTTCATCCTGGTTAAAAGTGGCAGACAATAAGCATACCGAGCTTTAGTGATAAAAAAAATTGTAAAGAAAACAAATGTATATAGAATTAGATGTACTTTTTTTCTTATTCCCTAATAGTATTTCCTTTTTCAGTTCCCAAAAAAAAAAGGAGAATTAAAATAAGCTTCTCAAGTCCATAAATTTTCAGAAGATCTCATAAGTAACAAATGTGTATATATATATGTGTATTATTTGTTAAGAAGTAAAATTAGGGCTTCATTAGGGACCTTTGTAATCTTTGTAGTTACTGCACCCTGAATCTTGATAATCTTTGTAATTAATATTGTTTCCTTTCGTTGTTGCTATCGACCTATATATATAGAGCCCTAATGTTCAATGAAATACACAACAGTTCATTTTTCCATATTATTATTTATTATTTTTAAAGACACAGAACCCCTTGACAACTTATTTATAACGATAGGCTCTTTTGCTATCATAAGTTATTTCAGAAAATATCAATAATAAAACAGTTAAAGAAACTCTTTATAAATTCCTTTGGACAATCATGATATTTTGAATACTTTTACCATACTTCACATAACATCTGAAGTCAATAACTTGCCTTGAAAAAGTTCTATCTTTCAACTAGCATGACTTTCCATAGATTCTACCTTGAAAATGTTCTCTCACAGGTCGAAACTATTTCTCTTTCATCATTGATGCTACTAATATCATGACTTTCAGTAAATTCTAGACTTATAATAATTGCAGAAGGCCTATTTTCTCTCTAATGCAACAAATTGCGCCAAACATGCAGTGAAGAGCCACACTTATTTTTCCATTATTATGGCTCCAATTGCACATGAAACTAAAATAAGTTTAAAAAAGAGCAGACAATAAAAGTAAAGAAGTGGAAATTTCAATGGATTTCACTTCAGGAACAGGGGGAATTTCAACAACTGCAAAATTAGACAAGCATGCGAAAGCGTGTTGATTACTAGAGGAGAGGAATTTGATTGAGAACAATACACCTATAGAAGGGTTCGAAAGGCCCTGCAGAAGCGTAGCAAATATTTCTACAAGAACAATAGATATAATAATTTTATTTAAAAGACTGATTTAATATAACACCTAACAGGGATAATAAAAAGTTTACCGGCAACGAAAATTTTGAAGACCCACTATTGAAGAGAAGGTCTTTCAGGGCTTTCTTGGCATCAGCGCGCTTTTGGCGTACTGAATATCTAACATAATTCTGGGATCAACATTTGAAGCTTTAGTGAAATATTATCGTTCAAACAAAAGCTAAATATGCAAATTGACAACGAGGTAACTGAAAGGAAGGAAAAAAATTTAAATAGAAATACAATGAAACGAATAAATTACAACAGCTAACACGACTATTTGGTACAGCACATAGAAGTGATGAGAGCTTTCTATCCATAGGGAAGTTAAAAAAAGTGTTAAGATAGAAAATAAGCAAGATGAAGGATGATTTTGTTTTACATGCTCAGAGAATGTAACATAATGCATAATCCAAAGAGTTAGTAAGAAGTCTGGCACCTTGGATGGTTGCTGTGCTCCTCCTCCTACATCCTGAAGAACACATTTATTTTGTCAAATTCTTGTGGCAAATAGGCCAAGTATTCTACAAAAATAGTGCAGAAAAGCAGATAAAAAATCTTAAATGTGTCATAATAGTCACCCATGATGTTTAAAAACCAAAAGACAATGGAAGAAACAAAGGGAACAAAAATACAGTGATCATCACATAATATATCAAGTAAACATTTTTTGAAATAAACAATATCAAGTAAACATATTAGAAAAAGTGCAGCTAGCTCCTCTATGAAGAACTCTCTAATCTTATACATAAAGAAAAGTGATTTGTACCCAAAAAAATATATAAAAAAAGATAATAGAAGAATAGATAGATGAGGGACAGGGAACACAGGTGAGGACTTTAGAGGGAGAGTAGAAGAATCTCAAATAGACATGAGGAACAAAACAGACGGAAACAACAAGAGACAGAAACAACAGATAGGAAGTGAAATAAGTTCACTAGAAAATTTTCAATTCCAAGCTTAGATAAAATGTTGATTAGACCCTTTGTTTAAGTTCTGACCTTGACCGAAAAAAGGAAAACAACTAATAGGAAAACAAATCCAGAGTTTCCCAAATGACTAAATACTCTAATCTCCTAAAAAGTCATAGTTCCTAATTTGAAGAACAAAAAACAAATCTCTCAAAAAGTATTAAAATCAGCCTTTTTATTTAGGCTTAGAGGGTTCAGCATCACCAGCTAACTGAGCTAAGCTCATTGGGAAATTTGTTTCACATTTAAATAGGAAAGGCAAATTACCTAAAACTAAGGGAAAGAATTATGGTGGAAGAGAAAATTTATTGAAATTCCTCATCTTTATTTAGCAACAAAAAGAAGGCGCTGATTTTCAATAAATCTGCTTTCATCTTTCATTTGCCAACACAGATTCATGCTGGTGGATATTCTTCATTCCTTTCTGTCTAATTGCTAAATCTACCTAGTTATTTTGTGACAATATCGAATTAAAGTTCCAAGTAATCAAATTCCAACAATTATATAATAGTGTTGGCGTTATTAATTTACTCACAGATCTGTAAATCCATATCTTCTTGTACATGGGTTATGCCCCCTTGGCCTTATTAATTTATACTACTATTCACTTTTATCTCAAAAAAAAAAAAACAATTATATAATAGTGTTTCCAACTGGGTCTAGAAGTTCAGGAAGAATCACATGATCACAAAAGTAAATTGTTAAAAAAATTAAAAATGATAAGTTAGCATGATTCCAGCATAAAACTACTGTTACTTTCAGAGCAACATCAACACAAGCCAGTAACTAATTCCTACAACAATGTTCAAACTTCACAAGTCACCATCATATCAATTAGCATTAACTCACTATCAATTATTGATCAATAAAATAATTCAAGCATTTCATGGCATCATTCATCACTTAAATGTTCACAAACTGGTATTCACTTTTTAGCCGTAGCAAACACAGAGAATAGTAGCTTTGAAAGAGAAAAATGCAAGAGAAAGAATTAAGCAAAGAAGACTCACAAAGCTCCATTTGTTCTTCCACTTTTCGTAGACAGCAGGTGTAGAATGAAAGGAAGCAGAATATACAGTGGTTGTCTTTGTTAAAGAGCTTTTGAGAGCCAACAAGTTTCGCCATCCCGGTATCAACATGATTGATGAAGAAACACAAGGCCTCACCTCCGATCCAATGTTTTCCGATTCTTATTTATCTTAGCTATGATACACTAGGGAGTTAAACCTGCATTCAATTTTCTCGGTTAGTGATTACAATTTTGTATAATCCCCATCAATTGTTTCTGTTTTATCATCTATCCCTCGTAATTAATTTCAACTGAAAATACAAATATCTCCATAAACCAACCAAGATATAGAGCGGAAAAGAAGAAAAGGAATTTGTTATTTGTAAGCTTGGAGAAAATAAAAACAGGTTGAAAATTGGTACCGTACCTGGATGAAGCTTCTCAGTCTGCAGGAGCCGAATGAGAGATGAGCAAACTCGTCTGTGGCGTACTCGAGATTCCGAGATGGAGAGCCAGCTATGCCGAAGAAGATGAGGCGGCCGACGGCTTGAACTATAGGAAGAAGCACGTGATAGGGTTAAAATCTCAAACTTGCATGCTAAGCTAATCAACATTAGAGAAAATCTCAGCTTCTTGTTGCTAAAAAATTAGAGATGGCAACGGAGGAGTTTCAGGGTAAATTTCATCAAACCCCAACCCCGAACATGTTCCGAATCTTGAACAAGTTTGAAACTTTTTTATATTTTCACGAGTTATCTGTTATTATTTTATTATATTAATATTAATAAAAATCATATCAATAAAAAATAAAAAATATATTATTAATATATAATAATAATATATATTAATTATATTTATTATATATACAATGTGGGTGAACAATGCAATTGACAGAAATGTTGGCAGTAAGTACCTTAGACTCAGAATTCACTTGGGTATTTTGTGTGAGATTAACAAGAAATAAATTAATTAATTAATATCCCAACACAGAGAAGATACGAAAGCTTGATCCTTTTCAAGCATAGAGTTCTATTAATGCTCTTAGAAATTAACTAACAATGTATAAATATATATATATATATATATATACATATAGAAATTATCTATATGACAAACTATATCTGCTCTTATTCTTTTATTCACATTAAGAAAGACAACAGAAAACAGAGAAGAAGTTGCAAACTGGAACTATCATGGCAAAGAAGAAAGTAAAGTTGATAACCAAAGGATCCCAAGTGAGTATTTCATTGAACAATTTTAGTTATGATATATATATATATATACATGATGATAATCAAATTAACTTCTCATATCTTTAATTTAATAATCATCTATTTATATTTCCAATTGTCAAGAAAAGAATCACTAGAACCTTATAATTGAAAGTCAATTGATGTTCATATCTGAAAATATGTTTTATGAAATTGATTTCTTATTGTAGGTAACACTAGACAATGGTTTGGTAAGGCTCACAATATCAAAACCTCAAGGATATATCACTGCCATCAAATATGCAGGAGTAGACAATCTTTTAGACCTCAAGTCAAGTGAATCAAGCAGAGGGTAATTCACAGAATACCATCATCTTTTTTAGTCTGACTCGTATAATTAAACCGTTTTTTCTTTGACAACGCGGAAACTTATATATTATGGCTAGAAGATTACTTTACTAAGGATCTGTTTATATATGTTACTTTGGGTAAGAGAGATACAATAAGTGAGTTTGATAGAATATAATTGATTATATGATTGTTTAATCTGCTTGAATTTATTGTATAATGGTTATGCAAACAGGTATTGGGATATTAACTGGAGTTTGCCTGGAGGCAAAGACAGATACCAATTGTATGTTCCTGTTTATTTCATTGGGAAAAAGTATTGCACTTTATGTGTTTGATGGTTGGTGTAGCTGAAGATTAATCATGATGATTCAATCATTATTTTCCTTGGAAAAAAACAGGCTTAGCGGTGCTGAATATAGTGTAGTTCAAATGAATTCAGATCGGGTAGAAGTTTCATTCAAGAACACTTATGATCCAGCAGCTGAAGGCATCAAATTGCCTCTAACTGTTGACACAAGGTCCATGATTTTGTCCTACCAAGTCTTGACACTTTTTCTCTGTTTCCTTAAAGTGCCCTACTAAATTCGACACATTTTCTTCACTTGCAATCAGGTATGTGTTGCAGAGTGGAGTTTCTGGCTTCCATTGCTATGCAATATATGAGCGCCCACCTAACTGCCGTGCCTTTGATCTTGCTCAAACAAGAATGGTGTTTAAGCTTCGACAAGAGAAGTAATATGCATTAACATATAATCTCTTAAGTTGATGTATATAGATACCGCTTGTTTTACATCTGAGCCAGATCTTTGTTGGCATGATGGAGTAGATTTCACTACATGGCAATCACTGATGAGAAACAGAGAATAATGCCAATGCCAGAAGATTTGCTTCCTGGTAGAGGTAAACAACTTATTGTACCTGAATCTGTTTTGCTGGTGAATCCTATAAACCCAGATCTCAAAGGGGAGGTGAGTATGCAACAAAATTATGCATCATGTTTTTTATTTTTTTGGTTGACAGGAGGCTCAGCGGGCGAGTAGATGATAATACAGGATATACCCTTTTCCTGTTGTGACTTTTTTCCTTATGAATGTGACCAGGATTTGATCTTAAAATTTTTTGTAATTTGTGTATTGATTTTACCAGCTAAGCTAGATGAAACTTGTATTAGTTGTTCTCTCTTTGAGCATTCATGTATCTGAGCATTTAGCACTTCAAGGGATCAACGGCAGGAACTTAATTATCTGTCTTATGTATGACTGACCACCATAGGTTGATGACAAGTACCAGTACTCAGTGGATAATAAAGATGGTGGAGTCCATGGATGGATCAGTTCAGGTCCTATTGTGGGGTTCTGGGTTATATTCCCCAGCCATGAGTTTCGAAACGGAGGTCCTACCAAGCAAAATCTCACAGTTCACACTGGACCTGCTTGCCTTGCTGTGAGTTCTATAGGGTACAAGTATTAACAAACAGAAATATTTTAAGGTTCTTAAAATTCATGGCTTCTAATTGGCATAACAGATGTTCCATGGAACTCACTATATTGGAGAAGTTATATTAGCTCATTTTGAAGAAGGAGAGACATGGAGGAAGGTCTTTGGCCCCTTCTTCGTATACCTAAACTCAACATCAAATGTATCGGATGCTTACAACTTATGGCTTGATGCGAAGAAGCAGGTTAACGCTCATTTCCTTCATGATGCAATAGCCTTCAATTCTCTGAGTAACTATTAGTTGCTCTAGGAGTATAGAAGAGCTGTTTAATCTCATAATTGCTGTCTTAGTTATAGATATTCTTCCTATTGATGTGGCTTTTGCTCGTGACTCTTTTGACTCATTCTAGCGGCTGCAAGAAGAGATGGCATGGCCATATGATTTCATCTCATCACCATACTATCTGTCTGCAAACGAACGTGGCTCAGCTATAGGGAAATTGGTTGTCCTAGACAGGTAATAAAAGCTGAGGACAGATTGTTCAGGCACATGTCAAGATATTGTATCCTTTCGCATTTGAAAACTACTCTCATTTTTCATCTCGATTGCTCAATCCAGGTTTATTTTGAGTTCTTTGATCCCTGCCAAGAATGCCTATATTGGTCTATCAACTGCAACAGAGGAAGGAGGCTGGCAAACAGAAAGCAAGGTATTGCAATTATAGTTATCAATTCATCAAGGCAATATATACATGAACTGGAAATTCTTAACACTCCTTTTCTCATTATGGATATGAAGGATTACCAATTCTGGGTGAAAACAGATTCACAAGGTAATTTTATCATCAAGAATGCTATCCCGGGAGTCTATAGACTCCATGGTTGGGTTCCAGGGTTTGTGGGCGATTACCTTGACACAAGACTCGTAACCATCTCTGCTGGTACTTCCATATTAGTCCTCTCCTCAATCAAGAAACAAACTGATATGTTGTTTCCCTATATAACATTCATTAAGAGCTCATTGCAGATCACATTATTCCATTTTTTCCAGTGTAGAGACCTAATGATTGTAGAGATTTATCAGGGTCCCAAACAGAACTCAGCCACTTGACCTTCAAACCCCCTAGAGATGGACCAACCATATGGGAGATAGGCTTCCCTGATCGTACTGCTATGGGCTTCTATGTGCCTGATGTGAATCCAATGTATGTCAACAGGTTGTTCCTTAACGGGCCAGAAAAGTAAGCAACTTTTGCTCTCCATTCGGTCTAAAATCATTAACAAAAAATTTTACTAACACGAATCAACGAGTGAATACGACTAATTCATTTCAAATCTTTGTCGCTAAATCATGCAACAAACTTGAATGAACTAATCATCTTTATGGGGTCTTCTACTTCATCTGAACTACGAAAGCATCTTATGATTTTTCTAAATAAACATATGTTTGCATTTGTGGTATCTTATAGGTACAGGCAATACGGGCTATGGGACAGATACACCGATATACATCCTGAATCTGATCAAGTATTCAGCATAGGCATCAGTGACTCAAAAAAGGAGTGGTTCTTTGCTCATGTAGACAGGTCTTAAAAATTTCTTCTGACAATGACACCTTTCTGAGGAATCTCCAGAACTGAATGTAATTCTTACACGAGATCTTCAGCTGAAAGTAAGTAACTTTTCCTGATAAATGTTGTTAATTTTGACAGAAGAGGAGCAGACAAGTATCAGCCAACAACATGGACTATCAAGTTTAATCTTGATTCAGTAACCAATGGAACTTACAAGCTGAGACTGGCCATCGCATCAGCAACTCGCTCTGATCTGCAGGTTTTTGTAAATTCAAAGGATGAAGGAATGGTGTTTGAAGTGATGAATCTGGGGAATGATAACACAATTTGTCGGCATGGAATACATGGGCTGTATCGGCTTTTTAGCATTGATGTTTCTTCGTCATTGTTGATCAAGGGTGATAACTCCATATTTCTCACACAGGCCAGAGGTGGAGATGCACTTTGTGCAATACTCTATGATTACTTGAGACTTGAAGCTCCATCATCTAAATCGAAGTCATCTGAGGAATGAATACAAGATTTGAGACACTGATACAACTAATATGTCTATGTGGGTATGTATGTATAGATTATGAAAAAAAAAATGGTTTTTTTTTAAGTTCGGAATGTTCCATGCCAAATAATCTGTTAAATATATATTATACAATAAATGTTACATATTCTGTATCAAGTATACAAAGAATAAACTAATAAAGATTGAACCCAAGATATCTCTCCTAGAAGTACAAAGAATAAACTAACAAAAATCTAATGAACTGATCAAAATTTCTGTTAAACAAAACCACAGAGAGTTGCAGTACAAATCGTTCAGTCAAGTACTTTGGAACCAAAACCAAGCATTATCTGCTAGTTGCACCAGTTCCACCTTCCACTATTGGACCTTTTCAAGTGCCACTTCTTCAATGCCGACTTAGATTTAGCTTCTGCATCATCAAGACCGCATTCCTTGGATTGGTTCTTTGGTATAATCAAGAACCAATTCAGCTACTGATCCATATCAGGATTAAATAAAGGGTTCAGCTTCTCCAATCGAACTGCTTGTCAATTCTTGGCAGGTTTCTGGGTTTTCTTGATCAGGCTTTTATGCCTCTTGCCTCCTGGTTCTTGCTTCTTGTCTCCTTTCTCAAAGCCTCTTTTGCGAGACAAAACTTTTGCCTGGTTGTCCTTTCTTTTACCGCCCACTTCTCTTTCACAGCTGCCAGTTTCAGTCTCAGTCAGAAAACGTGTGGTGAGATGAAAAGAATTTAAGGGAAAATGAGAAGACTGAAAAAATGGACAGGTGGACCGCCTAGATTAAAACTCTAAAATGAAGGGTTCAGATTCTCTTTTTCTGTTTAAAGGTTGGAGACAGCTGGTAGTCTCTAATGTTTCCAGAGACCGCCCTCATCCCCTTTTTATTTTCCTGTATATATATTTCCAAGGTTCCATTCAATAAATACACAGCGGAAAATTAATGAGCATTAGATGCTCTCTACCCTACCCAGCTAAGTTTCTTTACATGGTATCAGAGCAGTACCTGTAATAAGCACTGATTCTCCTGATTTTTACATTACAATATTACCCTACTGCTAAATGGCAAACCCTAATACAAATGTGTTGATACTCCTAAGTTCAGACCAGCCTAGAATGCAACTCGTCACAACCACACTTGATGGATCCAACTACTTGTCTTGGAGTTGAACCATGGTGATCGCATTGAGAGCCAAGGACAAGCTCGCCCTCGTCGACGACAGATGCAAAAAGCCCGAACCCGATGCAACAGAACATAAACAATGACACAAAACAGACAGCATGATAGTGTCTTGGATTCTGAACTCGATGAACAAAGAGCTCGCTAGCGCCTTCTTGTTCACCACATCAACAAAAATCCTGTGAGATGAAATAAAAAAACGTAGGGTGAAAGCAATGGACATATGTTGTATCAGTTAAAACGCGAAATAAGTTCCATCACGCAATCTAACCTTTCTGTCACAGCCTATTATACAAAACTCAAAAGGCTATGGGATGAGTTAACACACCTAAGGCCCTTGCTTGCTCCTACCATGCTGCAACACAACACAATAAAATAGACAATACTGACAACTTAATCCAATTTCTAATGGGTCTTAATAACTCATACGATCATGTTAGAAACCAAATATTGATCATGGAATCCTTATACGGATTGAATAGAGCTTATTTCATGGTGATTAGTGTTGAAAAACAGAGGGAAGTACACAATAGTAACTCGTTTAAGGGGATGCCCGCTGCATTTTACACCAACCTAAAAGACAATCCAAAATTCCCAAACCGGAAAAAGGAAAAGGATAGCAGGGCATGCACTTATTGTAAAAACACAGGGCACACAAAGGACACATACTTCAAGCTCCATGACTACCCAGAATGGTTTACATAACTCAAAGAGAAAAGGAACGAAGAAAAAACTAATGCAATGGGCAAACAATGCCTCTAATAACACCAAAACAGAAGTATTCAACACAAATTGGGGCACAAAAATGACCATACTCATAGAACAAGAGATCAGTAAGTACTTGAAAAACAAATGAGCAAACATGGCAGAATCGGCAGGGTGCGTGGGCTACTCTGGCCCCTCTAGTAAGCAACTTAAATGTTGTTTTTTATATACCTTTAATGACATAAGATCTTGGATAATAGAGACAGGTGTCACATCACACATATGCCATGATTTCAAAATGCTTTCAAAACCCGTAAAACTAGAACCTGCAGTACCTATCTCGTTACCAGACGGAACCACGAGTCATTCAATCCACAAAGGAACCATAAAGCTGTGCGACAATTTAATTCTACTGGATGTTCTTTATATACCAAAATTCACTTACAACCTTATTTCTGTCATAAAACTAACACAAGCTATAAATACCTACATTTTCTTTTATCCCAACCATTGTTTTGTGCAGAATTTGACAACTAACAAAATATTGAGGAAGGGAACAATAATGAAGAGCCTGTACACCCTGAGTGAAGACATTAACCCTAACAAAGCATACATCAGCCACACCCAAGAAAACAACCTACAACTATAGCACAAAAGACTCGGCCACACATCCAAACAAAAATTGATCCACATTCCCAGTCTAAAGTTACCATGCAGTGCAGCTCTACATGATGTGAAATATACCCCTTGGCAAAACAGCAACGCTTGTCTTTTTTCTAAAAATTTTATCAATACTAGTGACATTTTTAGTTTAATACATGTTGACCTTTGGGGACCATACCCGGTTAATTGTACTTCTGGTGCACTTTATTTTTTAACCATAGTTGATGATTTCTCAAGAGCCACTTAAACTTACTTATTAAAAGAGAAAACGAATGTACCAAATATCTTGAAATATTTTTACAATCTAATACAAATTCAATTTTAGAAAGCAATCAAAACAATTAGGACAGACAACGACACTGAATTCATGAACACTTCATTCAAAAAAAAATTTCAAGAAAAATGAATCATGCATCAAAAAATCTGTACATACACACCACAGCAAAATGGGGTGGTGGAGAGGAAACATAAGCACCTATTACAAATTGTTAAGGCATTGATGTTTGAATCAAAACTACCCAAAAGTTTTTGGGATGAAGCCATACTCACAGCCACACACATAATAAAAGTTTTGTCAAACTCTGTTTTAAAATGAAAAACTCCTTACGAAATTCTGTACAAAAAATAGCCGGATTATTCAAAGCTAAAGGCCTTCGATTGTCAATGTTTTGCAACAAATGTCACCCCTCAAAAAGAATAGTTTAAACCTAGGGTTTTGAAATGTGTTTGCTTAGGGTATGCACTCGATGCAAAGGCTTACAAATTATATGATATAACAAACAGAAAAACGGTTTTGTCTAGGGATGTCATATTTTTCCATACCAAACAAAACACCCTAAACCAGATTACCATGACACACTACTGCCAATACCAAGTGACGACACAGTAAACACATCTGAAAATCAGCTACGAAGAAGAGAATAAATTCCCTTACCAACCATCATTTTCCAAGAGTCTGAAGTAAGGAGGAGCATCAGGGTGAGAAACAAGCCCGCCTAGATGGTAGACTTTGTCGCCCATACCACTGAACAACCCATGTTTGAGCTCTCCTTCCTCATGTCCACCTCACCTACATACAACCACGGCTATGTTAATTTTATTGCACAAGTGTCTATTACCAAAGAACCAATGTCATATAGGAATGTTAAAGGGGACAGCAAGTGGGTTGAGGCCATGCAAGCCGAACTGTCCGCACTGGAAGAAAATAGAACATAGGAACTCACTACACTACCAAAAGGGAAGAAAGCAATTGATTCAAAATGAGTGTATAAAATAAAATACAATACCGATGGATCAGTTGATAAATACAAAGCAAGACTTGTAGCTAAAGGTTACAACCAGGAGTTCGGCATAAACTATCATGATAGCTTCTCACTAGTGGCCAAAATGGTCACAGTTCGATTACTTTTAGCCGTGGTAGCCGCAAACAACTGGCCAGTATACCAGTTAGACATCAATAACGCATACCTACATGGTTTAGTGGAAGAGAAGTTATACTTAAAACCTCCAGAGGGCTACTTCAAGGCTAGTAAAGGGCAAGTCTGCCGTCTAACCAAGAGTCTATACGACTTAAAACAAGCGGGTCGCCAGTGGAACAAGGAGTTCACCTCAAAGCTCCAATCTATCGGCTTCACCAAGTCAGAAGCCGACCAATATCTATTCACAAAAAGAACAAAAGGAAACTACGTTTCAGTTGTGGTATATGTGGATAACTTACTTGTCACGGGTCCTAATGATGAGGTGATTTACGAAATCAAAAGCGCCATGAATGAAGCCTTCACAGTCAAGGACATCGACCAAGCAAGATATTTCCTCAGAGTCGAGATAGCTAGATCAAAATAAGGGATCTACATCAGCCAAAAAAAATATACCAGAGATATTCTACAAGATACAAAGATGGAAGATGCAAAAGGAAGCCACTTTCCCCTGTCTTCCGGACTAAAACTAAATACAAAAGAAAGAGAAATCTTACCAGATCTGGAGAGATATAGACGCCTAATCGGCCGTTTGCTTTACCTCAACTTCACCAGACCTGACATAACGTACTCCACTCAACACCTCAGTCAGTTCATGCAACGACCCAGACGACCACACTACACGTTGTTAGATACCTAAAGCAATATCCGGAGCAAGGCATCTTCTTCCCGAGAAAGAATGATTTTAAAGTTCAAACTTTTTGTGATTCGGACTAGGCATCGTGTCTGATATCCCGCAAATCATTCATGGGCTTCTGCATCTTCCTTGGGCCTGCACTGATCTCTTGGAAAACAAAGAAACAAACTACAGTGAGCAAGTCTTCCACAGAGGCTGAGTATAGAAGTATGTCATCCACGGTATGTGAAGTTCAGTGGATAACCTATCTGCTTTGAGACTTTCAAATAACACCCCACTTACCCGTAACATTGAACTGTGATAACAAAATCGCCGAGCATATTGCAGCAAATCCGATTTTTTACGAACGAACAAAACACCTTGACATCGACTGCCACATAATTCGCAACCAAGTTCAAAAGGGTTTCGTTGAAATGAAGCATGTCACCTCGAGGGAACAGCTCGCCGATTTGCTCACAAAACCTTTAGGAACTTCAGCACATCATCGACTTTTGTTCAAGATGAAGCATCTGCAACAAGAGAGTTCAAAGAGTCAAAGAAGAGATAGTGAGAAACTTGAAGAACCGAAAGCAAACTGACTTCATTTTAAGGAGTGGGTGAAAAGAATTAAAGGAAAATGAGAAGGCTGAAAAAATGAACAGGTGAACCGTTCAGATCAAAACCTAAAATGAAGGGTTCAGATTTTTTTTTTTTTTGTTTAAAAGTTGGAGACAGTTGGTGGTCTCTGACATTTCCAGAGACCGCCCTCATCCCCTTTTCATTTTTCCTATATGTATATATATTCCCAAGGTTCCATTCAATAAATACACAGCAGAAAATAAATGAACATTAAATGCTCTTTAACCTACCCGGTTAAGTTTCTTTATAACCTCAACTGCAATCTGGAGCGAGTCTTACCGCTTCATGGCTCGATTTTTCTTGGGTCTTTCTTGAAATGGAAGAGGAGTCTTTGGGTCCTCGGTGGCTTGGTTGATGAAGCCGAGAAAATCCTCTATCTCTGTCGGCATCTTGGCCATCTCTCTTTGAAATTGAAGCAGGACAATACTAAAAATTTCTATCAAATGGACCAATTCGATTAATGTATGATCTTCAACCCCCTGAAACACCAATACCCAGAATCATTTTCCTGGAAAAAGAATCAGAAAACTCCGGTGAATGATTTGAAGCTCTATAAAACACCAATACCTACAATTTCTATCTCAGAAACAAGAAGCAAAGCAAAGATTGCAGCTGGAAAAACAAAGCAGAGTACCCCCAAATCTCTTCGTAGTTTATATTTGTACTCGTCTGTGTAAGTCGCGTGACTTTAACAGTCAAGCCAATTTGCCGCCAAAAATTGAAATTGTCAAAACGCTACGGTATTTAGGTGCCAAGTAATTATCTCTTCACCTGGCTGAACTCAATGCACATTACACCCAAATCTCTTGACCGGTTTAACGGTCAAGCAAACTTGCCCGCAGAGAGTCTTAATTTTTTTCCAAAATGCTGTGATTTGTTAATCTGCTATGCCAAGCAACTTGGAACTCCAACTGTTCTAACTTCGATAATCGATTAAAAAATCTAATATCTATTGTTCTACATCATTCAAATGATTCATAATTGAATGGATATTTAAACGATTTTTTCTTTTCTATGAAAAAAAATCACATTAGATTTTTTAACATATCATCATCAAATTATAAAATGTTACTTTGTCTAGAACATAATAGGTTCGTTGAGACGAACCAAATTTTATCATTAAAACACCACTAACATATTAATAAATCAAATCTTTAACTTTACTAAATCAAATATTAAAATTCGATCACCATCAATTCATAATACACTCATAGTGAGCTCTACATCCTTCTTCATATTCGAACTCTGTAATTTTCAAATATAACACAAAAATATTAATTAATAGACCACTTTGTTGCTAAGAAATATCTAGTCGAAATTGAATGGAGTAATATAAATCATGTTATATTATGGTGATACAAAGATGAATGCACAGGAACACTTCAGTTAAACCATGATAATCATGAGAATGAAAAGTATAAATATAATATTGCCATTGATGGCAAAAGTAAGTTCTATAATTTTCATCAGCAAAATGTCAAAATACGGTAGCTACTCACACGCCAGATGCTAAATACATCATTTGAAGAGTTACATACGCTTATACACAAAATTGCATGTCAAGAAGTGGCTACTACAGAGAGAATCATCAGGTCATCAAAACACCAGCTTGTTTAAGCTCCATTTCAATTCATATGCTGGAGAAAGTCAAAAGTAAGCCATAATGATCGCTAGGCAATACAGGAAGCTCCAACTTCTTTACTTCATTTTTGATCTTTTTCTCTTTGCAATATGTCAGCCCAGGTATTGGCTCCATTCCTATCATTTGAACTCCACTAATTTTGAAATCTTGCAGACTGCACATAAATCGGTCCAGACGTTTTCGTAGAGTGCGGTTACCTGACAACATCATGTTTGACTTGGTATCATATGTAAATCCATCTTCCCCTGGCCTAAGTTCTGTCCAAGCATCAATCCATTTATCAGACAGGGGGAACTGACCATCTAGCTTGTCATCCCAGTTCAAATCACCCCCGAAAATGACATTAGGATTCTTGTTAAGGAACTTGACAGTCTCGTTTGCCTGTTCTACACGCTCCTTGCTGAACATCTGATCCCACTTCGGAGGGCTTGGGCAAGGACTCTCGAGATGGCTAGTGGCAACAACTAAAGATATGTCTCCCTTAACTTCAAGCTCAGCAATGATCAGTTCCCTTCCCATTATAGAATTCCTAAAAGGCTTGCTGGTGAAAGATTTCACCGGTATTTTACTCAACTGTGAGCAATTCAAAATTGGCCAAATCAGTAAAGCTTAACATTAAATTCTCAAATCAGCCAAACATGATACAAAATAATGATAAATATATTGCTTCCAGAAAGCACAACGCCAGACCGTATATGTAGAAAGTAACTAGCTCATAGCTTAAAGTCTTAACAACAAATCATATATTATTTCCATGTGCTCACAACATGCATACATACTAAAATCATCAACATCAAAGATGAACCACCAGATTGAGAATGACAGAAAGTTACCAGCATGCAAAAATATGGTCTTGAATCTGCCATCCCATTTGAAACAGAACAACGATAAGCCTTCCACCAGCTGGATTGACAAAAGGCTTCATATATGTTCGGAGTAACCTCCTACAGAACAAAGATTCATGTTTGGCGAATGTTCTGAAATCTATTAGATTGGATCGAACAAGAAAGAAAAAGAAAACCTGAAAACAGATTATTTCTGGGGAATGCAATTGAATGAGTTCGCCAATAGCTTTCATCCTCTTATACATCTCCAAATCCTCCCGAAACCAGACATTATAGCTCAGAACTTTCAGTGTAACTAAACCAGCTCCTGAACTATTGTTCTCTGTGACATATATATGATGATTTCATATTCAGTGACAATAAAAATACCAATTTTCTAATATAACAAAATAAAAAGTTTACTCCTTTGTTGTCTGGACTCGTAATCTATCAATTTCTCATCTATGAATTAATCAAAAGAACCTTTTTAACCATTTCCCATATAATGGACAACTTAGAGTGTTCAACATTCAGTATGAAACAAATTTGATATTGAAAATAAGATTAATAACATTAAAAGGAGGAACTTGATTAACAAAGAACAAAAATTTATTAGAAAAAGAAACAATACCCATGAACTTATATAAACTTAAACAGAAACTAATTAACAATATTCATTAGCATAATCATTTCAAACTATATTCAAACAGAAACAAGAAACTCCTTTAAAGGAAACACAAAAAGGGATAACAACACATACCCTTCACAGTATCCTCCTTGTTCGAGGCCATAACTCCACGAAACCCGCTCAAATCAACTAAATCACCGTCATCACGAACTGGATCCATCTCCATCTCCGTCTCCGTCTCCATTCCCTTCCTCTTACAGCGTCGCAACGGCAAGAACACAGACCCGACGGAGGAATCGACGTCCCCTTCAGGACCCGTATCGTATAAATCGTCAAATCTTGAGAGAGAAGACACCGAAGCCCTCGTGTCACAGACCTCGCAGTTGGTGTTTCTATATGGGTTCAAGAAAGTGCAGGCCTTGCACGCCCATTTAAGGTCCAGACAAGAGGAAGAAGAAGAAGGAGATGACGGAGTTAAGCAGATTTGACAGTGGGATTTCTGAGATGGGGAGTTGAGGAATGTGCATTTCTTACAGGACCAAGGAGGAAGAGATGAAGACGACGACGACGACGAAGACATTGATCGGAGAAGATGTAAGGTCTCGGGTCCTCTTCTGGTTCTAGGGTTTATCAGTGCTCGTTTTATACATTGAAGTTGACAAGACAAGTCAACCGTCTTGTATTTTCTTTTGGGAAATTGCATTATAATTATCCCTCTTTCTATTTACCAAGATATATAAATATTTTTTATAAATATCAACTAAATATTATAAGTAAATTAATTTCAGCTATTCAATCAATTAATAATTAGAATTATTTTTTAATAAATAATTTCTATAAATCAAATTTAATAAAAAATTATATATTAATATTTATTTTTATTAAAAATAATTAAATTTTTAAATTTTTAAAATATTTTTTTAATTACTATTACCCAAAAAAACCTTTGGAGCTTTTTGCTGCAGAAACAAATATTACATTTGACAAAAATCTGATTCCACAAGCCTATCTCAAATGAAGCACACATTGACTCTACACACTTTTCTTCAATTGCATTATTGCATCATTGGACAAGTTGAGGAGCAAAATCATATGATACATTGAATGAAAATTTACATCCTCATTTTATTTTCTAACTCGCTGCCGAGTCATAAAATGAATATCAAAATGCTGAGAGTTACGGCGAGAGCAATTATTTTGCTGCTGCTGATACTCTGGAACCTTGATCTACAAGCTAGACCGCTTACTTCCGTTGAGTTTACTACTGTTCTCGTCTTATTGCTAACCTTCTTGCTGAAAACAGAAACTAACGACGTGAGTCTCATTGTCATCATTAAACTTTTTATTACAACAAATCATCAAATTAGTTCGCGGAAATTCGACACTTTTTACAATTTGATTTTTAATATTTCTTTCGTCAAAATTTTGGTCCATCCCTTCGAGCAGCTTTTAAAACATTCAAATATACCCTAATGATTTTATCTTTTTTCTGTTAGGAAATAAAAAGAAACTAAAGCATTTTAAGCAAATAGAAATCTTCGAAGACCAAATTGAAATGAAAAAAACATTATGGACCAGAGTATAACAAGTGTCGAATTTTGAGAACTAATTTAGTATTTTGTCCTTATCGAAGATTCATGATGTTTTTCTGCAGATTCCATCTTACTCCAACAGTCTAGATAAGTGAATGTTAAGAACTAGAAATGTAAACAAGGTTACTGACATATTCTAGAGTTTCTCACCTTCCAGGAAATATACAGCTTCCATGACCTGTAAAGTTACATAACCCACAAAGCAAAACACACATCAGAGACCATATGTAAAAGGATGTACATACAACACATTACATGTATATATAACAAATGAGTGTATGTAAAAACAAAAGAACCTGAACTGTTTAAATATTGGAAGTTAACTGAAGAGGCCAAGTTCCACTGGTATCTAGACAAAAGTCATGGATTATTGACATTGTCTTGGTGCAATGGGTCTCACACAAGGACCAGTGGGCAAATTGGAAATCATTTCTAGCTCCCTATTTCAACAAGAAAAATTTACTCCACACCTGTTTCCCCCACTAGAACAGATGACCCATGTGGTTTTGTCAGGCAGGAATCATTCACAGTTCAATAAGTTATAAGACATATTTATCCTCAAGGAGTATCCTATGAACATTTGTAATTGGGGAATGCCACTACTCCCTGCTTCACTGATACAGAGTTTAGTAACTAGCACCCTTTTAACTTTAAACCCTCTATTGACTTGCGCCCAAGGAACTCAGTAGCTATTAAGCAAAAGAGAACTAGATGAGAAAATAAACACTAAAGATTACTCATTTACTAATTTTTAACCTAAAAGAGTTCGATTCTCGTTGACTTGAGTTAGTAATTACTCATGGTAGATACCCAAGGGAATGGTAAGCCCAGTGATAAGAGCTCTATTCTTTTCTTATTAGTCCATGTTTCTAACCACTGCAAGAAGAGAGTACTCGTTGCATTAAGGTCTCGGTGATACTTCAATGACAGCCTCATCTAAAGGAGAGAAGTAACTAAATACGGCTAAAACCGGACTTTACAATGGACTAATAAGTTCAAAAAATCAAGGGTCTAGAACCACCCGTTTCTCAGAACATCAAACCATTCACAGATGATGGAGGATTTAGGGGGACCTTACTGATAAATTGATAGATTTGTAAATTTTTTTTGTACATAGGTTAGCACCCCCTTGGTGCCCATAGTAATATACCACTTTATACTTTTTATTTAAAGAAATAACCGAACTTTAGAAATCTAATAGCTATAGTAAAGACAATTAGCTTGCCTTTTGCCTCTTCCCACCCTTTTATTTAAAATTAAGGGCAAAGAAGAAAAAGGACTCCCTGTAGACTACTACCTCTTCAAGTCTGTTGTGAACTTTGGCCAAATTGTCATCTAACTTAGTACCCAAAAATTTTCCCAATAAATAACCATCCTGGCTTCTTGGAACCAAAGTAACTAACCAATTCACTTGGTAGGGCCAGCCAATTTACCTAGTTATCTCACAACTGACCTTCCCCTGCACTATGATAATTTGATGGTTAACCAAGTTATCATGCCTCAACCTGTAACTTGAGTCTGTTGTGAATTTTGGCCAAATTGCCATCTAACTTAGTACCCAAAAATTTTCCCAACTAATATCCATACGCCTTCTTGGAACCAAAGTAATTAACTTACTCACTTGGTAAGGCCGGTCAATTTACCTAGTTATCTCACAACTGACCTTCCCCTGCACTACGATAATTTGATGGTTAACCAAGTTATCATGCCTCAACCTGTAACTATCCGTACAAAAATAACTTTTGAGATCTGTATAGAAAATACACTTACTGATAATAAAAGGCTATATCATCATAACTTACTTCCATCAAGTTACCAAAGATTGCACAAGCAAAGAAAACTCCAAGATTATATCTTGAATTCTATTTGAAATGCAATCAAAAGATAAACCAAGGTTCTTTATGATTGTAATGTGATTGAAGTTCTTACTTGGGTCAGTAGTGGTAATCATGGCCACACCCTTGAAGTCACAAGACCCAGCAGCTCTCCCTTCCTTCTGGTAATAGCTATCAAAAGCATAAGAAGCATGGTTCTTCACATTATTAGGCTGATAACAGTTTTGACCTGGTTGAATCTCACTGCAATTAGCCCTACCAGGACCACAAGCCCAGTCCAAGGCCGCCTGCAATGTCCTTGAATCTACACCATCCATGGCAATACAGTAAGTCTGATTTGTAGTATCATTTGCCAAAAAAGTGCCACTTCCTGATACATGAAGTAAGTACACAGGTGTTAAATTTCCATGAAACAATCCCCAGTTAGCTTCAGATAGAGGAGGGGACCTCAAGTCCTCATTGAACAACTCATATATGTACACGCTCGAGGTAACTTCCGGGTGCAAAGGTGTTCCACTTCGATCCAAAACATGCTTGATAAGATTGGAATTGTAGGTATCAGCATTGTCACTGGTGGCATAAGGCTCTTTTGAATCTCCCTTTGAAGGCCAGCCACTCTCAGTGACAAGCACCACAACATCTGTGACATTCAAGTTCTTCATGGAAACATAAGCTGCATCAATCATGGCATCAAGCACATTGGTGTAATGCAACAAAGTGTTGGGGTCAACCATCTCCTTAGAAGGTGTCAATGGCTTGAACAAAGAGTTGTCAAGAGGAACCACCCCTTTGTTCTCCATAAACACATAGTAAGGATACAGATTCATCATCAAGGGAGACCCAGTTCTTGACAGGAACTGAAGCAAAGGGAGCATAACAGAAGTCAAGCTCTGGTTAAAGAAGGCTTGAGAAGGAGGGAAAGTATCAAGAACTATCGAAGCAGCATGTGGAGTTGAAACCTTGATCTGGGCATGAAGATTTGCAGCCACCAAAGCATTGTAAAGAGACTCAATTGCAGGAAGCAACAAAGGAGCTGAAGATGGTAAAGTTGTCAACACCTCATCACCCACAGCAATGTCGGTGATGAGGGTTTCAGGGTAGTAAGCAGCAACATTTCTACCGATCCATGAAGCTGCTGTGGTGTTGGAGGATCCAATTGCAAGAAGCTGGTTATTTGGTACACTGATAATGACCCGGATCTTGGTTTTAGCCAAAGCTCTGAGTATGTCCTGGTCTGCATCATAAAGGCGTATGTGGGTTATTTTCTGGACTTGCAAAAACGAGACTAGCCCTGCTGGTGACACCAAGTTGGACACATCAGTGCCTATATTTACACCAACAAACGGCTCATTGTCCGTATCTTGTTTCGCCCTCTTGACTTTTTTGAACCAAACAGAAGATTCATCTGCAAAAATCCCAAGACAAAAACGAAAAAAAAAAATAAATAAACGGGTGTTGCTTCTTCTTTTCTCTCAATTACAGACATTTTCTCAAGTTGGGATTTTTGGGTTTATACCTGCGGAGATTACAGTGAAGAAGTAGACGAAGGTGATGAGTAAAAAAACAGTAAAGAGATTAGTGTTTGCCATTGAAGAGGAGCTTCAGCTTTACTGTTTCCTCTTCTGGTTCTTGCTCAGCTACAGATCCTTGCATTATCTTGTAAAAAATTTCCGGCCTTTTTGTTTTAATTCCCCTGCTCTGTCTACTGGGTTTTGGTCATTGACTAAGGAGATTCATACATTGACAAGAAAGAATCAGACTTTTTTAGGGTTTACTGCAAAAATTTTCTGCTTCCTAAGGATTGTGTTCCCCAGCCAAGGCCACAACTTCAATTTCTCAGTGTGTTAAAAAATTCATTCACCAAAATAACCTTGCACAACCGACAAGGGAGAGCTCTCTAGTACTCTTATTATTGCCTTCTTCTTCCTTCTTTTTTTTTGGCCATGGAACATTTACTTTTACTTCATAGAAAAATAAATTAAGCATTTTTATTTTTAGGGTAACTTGTAAGAAAGTCCATAACTTATACTTTTACTTACAACCATAATTCCTTATATATTATTATAACAAGAGAATGAATGTGGGTGTTGAGGGCTTTATTGTAATTTCACAGAGATTAGGAAATGCAAAATTCAAAATTGTTATAAATAATATATATATATATATATATATGTGTATATGGATACCATTCCATGTGATGAATTTGGACAAGAATGAAGAAGACAAGAGGTAGGCAACTAAACATACATACATATATATATGTGCGTATATGATGTGGGAATGGTGAAAAAGCAAGATGAGTGCATGAGAACGAAGAAACTTGTGTGTGTGTGTGTGTGTGTGTGTGTGTGTGTGTGTGTGTGTGTGTGTGTGTGTGTGTGTGTGTATATATATATATATAGGGGAGTGCGGGTACCATTATATAATGAAACCTGTGAGGGTGTCACGAGCAACTTAAATACAACTCAAACAATCACATGTTGCTCCC